TCATTCTCGAGGTATGTATATTCCAATAGAATATTCTTTTTACAAGGATAGATGAGGAATTCATCATCAGAAAATTCTCGGAACATTTAAGAATTCCATTCCATTCCTTCCATCATTTTCCGGAAATCAAATTTTTATTTGGTTAAAGTTTACTGTTCCTTCATTACAATACAACGTTTTAGTATAACCGTTTTCTGGAAACGGAAAAGAAATGAGTGAAGTTGAATATGGAAGATTTAGTTTGTCTATCTTTGAAATATATAAGATGTAAAATGCAAACCTTTGTCTACCAAATGTATGTTTCTGAATAGCTCCATCATACGGAATAGCACAATTGGTTGGTAAATCCGGAAGACGACGTCCGTAACCTAAGCGTATACCACTCATAAATGAACCATGATTTCCCTCCGTAATACTAAGATTATCAACGCTACGCATTAAATAACCATTAATGGCAGCTTCATTTTCTGGCTGCAATAAAAACAACCTGTCTTAAGGTTTTTTAAATTTAATTCACAATTTAAACTTAGTTCAATTCATATTCAATTAACAATTCATATTCAATATGTATATTCAATTCATAATTTAAACTTAATTTAAAACTAATCTGAGTTTTACTTGAGGAAATGTTTTTTTTAATCAATATAATACTGCAAATTTGGTAATGTTTCTAGCAATAATTGGCAGAGATTATTTAATTCAATGTCAAATGTAGCATATATTGAAGAATTGTTCGTTTAAGACCGAGATTTCCAGTAAGATTACTGGGATTATCCAAAGACTCATTACATAGTGGTATAATTAAACACTCTCAATGACATCCAATTGTCAAATGGTAGTGTCTTTTAAATCAATCTATTATTTTAATCTATCGTTTTCTAACGTTACATTTTCTGGCTTAATACATCAGAAAACAATACCTTTACCTTATTCTAGTAACTATCCGATAGTATTTAAATAGCTTAACAAAATCATGATTATTCTAATTTTAACAAGTTGAAATTTTATAATAGAAATATATTCCGTTTCAATTTTGAATATATGATATATTTAAATTATATTGTTTAAACTTTTAATATAAATCAAACTAATTTATGAAATTATTTACTTTTAAACTTTATTTTTAACTGAAATTATTTACTTTTAACTTTATTTTCAACTGAAATTATTTACTTTTAACTTTATTTTCAACTGAAATTATTTACTTTTAACTTTATTTTTAACTGAAATTATTTACTTTTAACTTTATTTTTAACTGAAATTAATCACTTTCAACTATAAATTAATTTTCATTACTCTTTCTAAATACATTATTTAACTTCACGTTTGTTTTCTTCGTATCCTGACCGTATATGATGAATAGCCTTGTTGTAGTGGATAACAACAATCGATGGATCCGCGGCGTATCTCTAAAGCATTTGATTGACGATGCATACCACGGGGTAATGATGCTGAACGATTATGGAAACGTCGCATTACTGGAAAAGATGAATCCTGAAAAAAAAAAAATTGAATTGGAATCTTTTGGCTAGAAGAGAAAGATGATATGGTATAATTAGTGTTGCTATTTGAGAAGTCTTATATCTGTAATGTTTTAACTGTCAAAAGTTTAGTTCATTTAACAAATTATTCGATGTTACTTATATTTGAGATATTAAATTAATCAATTCAAATATTGTAAAGAAGGAACTTTTGATTATTTAAGCATATGCGAATGGATAAAACTTTGTGTAAAAATTTCATATTTGATTTAATATAATCAATTCAAGATTGACATATCACATGACATGTCACATGTCATGTCCATCACAAATAAGCAATAATTCTAATGGGAACTGTTGCGGTAAGCAAAATTCAAAAGTCTACTCTTTTTATGAAATAATTCCAAAAATGTTCCAATTGGATTTAAAATGATACGTTTGAATGAGCGAGCCGTCGTTGGTCATCATTACGTCTAAGCCTCGTCATGACCATAGAATAACCAGGTGATGATTGAGGTAGAGGCGCTGAAGCAATATCATCTTTTTCATAAGATCCATTAATTTGATGCTGATATTGTTGCTGATGTTTCGTTTGAGGATGTTTATTGTAACCTGTAATAGATTGGGATAATATCGCATATCACTTTTGTAAGTCATGTGACAATTTGCATCGTTAAAATTTGTTTAATTATCAAATGAACCTAAATTAAATGGTTTGCATCGTTAATTCTTTCCATAAGTTACTGTTCGGTCATATTCAACCAACATTATTAGAGAATTATTAGAAGATGGATGGATATGTAGACAATGCCGCTAATTGAATATTTAACAAATTACTTTCGATTTGTTTCAGTTTAAAAATAATTAATCCAAATTTATTTATCGATTAAATTACTTCAATCATTTTATCCTTATTCTTAGCATGAAAAAGAAAAATTATAATAAAATCATGATAAAATATATCAAAAAAAAAATCATGATAAAATAACAAAATAACGAAAGATTAGGTTTAATTTTAAGCTGAAATTGTGCAACAAAAATTTAAATCCAATCATTCCTGCTATTTAATAAATTTCATAAACTTAAAATGAATACCGAAGTTGAATTGATCGTTGTTGACATGTTGTTGGCTTGAAAGCTTATTAACAATTCCAGTATTATTGCTACTAACAATTGCCTGTTGTACCTGATCGGGATTATTCACCGATACTGTTGATGTTGTTGTTGATCCTCCTCCTCCTCCTCCTCCCATCGTCGAACGATGAAGATAGCAGTCAGAATAATTAGTACCACAATTATTAACACCTATCAGATCGGTATTATTCCAACCAGATGAAGAGGATGATGAACCATCATCCATTGATAATACCTTTCAATAATAATTATAAAAATAAATAATAATAATAAGAAGAAGAAACAAATATTAAATAAATTACTTTAATTGTTCAGTTTAATTTTGGAATGGTTCAATGAATGGTTCATGCGAAGAGATATGTGACATTGATAGTGATAATGATTATCTGTCCTTTGTTTTCAAGTTTCATCTCTCATTTAATCCTTACCAAAATCTGTACAAACCTGAATCAGAATCCCGGGAGTAAGATTGTGGTCTAAAACCCCGATATATCCGATAGGATTGACTATAAATGAATATCCCTAGCTTACTATCCTTCTGTATAAATTTGCTTTTTATTTATAAAGGAATTAGTCATCTGATCGAATATTATATCTCGACCTAATCTTGCAATTTTTTTAGGAATACTTTATGAAGTTTAATTTGGATATTTATATTAACAACATTCAAAAAACTACAACTGCTGAAATATTTCATTTCTAAGTTAATACAACTTCTGCACACTATTTGAATCGTTAAACCTGAATTATGGTATCGAAGACTACAGACTACAGATACCTGATCTGCAAATCGGACACGGTACTGTTTACCGTTCCTCGATGTTTGGCTATTATAGTAGTTCGTTTGTAATTCTTCTGGTATGCGTCGCTGATATGAGAATGTATCCACTTCCCTATAAAAAAAAAGAAAAAAAAGTAGGTTTAATTTGTTCTGAAATTCATTTTAACATATATCAAAACACATGTTCCTCCCTCTTACAAGTGATTTTTGCATAATTCTGAAAAGGATAAATGAGAGTAAACAATGCTTTAATATTGTCATGAATAACAATGACACTATCAGCGACAATATCATTGATTATCTTTATCTTTGTTCAACTACAAACAACATCATTATCAGTAATGATTTCAGAGCTTTAATACAGCGCCAAAAATGACAACAGAATTTGAGATGATAATCAAGGTGCAAAAGATCGTCCAGTTTCATATTATAAAGAAATTTCAGAAGTTATTTCATTAGCATTTTTTTTTTTTAAGTTTGAGAACAGCTAATAGGATGTATAGTTTTCCTTTTAGGATAAACAAGAAAAGAGATTTCAAATAATGTAATTTTGTTGGAATCAACTAAAAGATGAATGGTTGTAAACGTTTAACATGGCGTGATAATGACCGGAAGTATCAGTCTCACTGAAGAATGAAATTTTCCTCCCTCCATAATTCCGGATGAAACGGATGTATTTTTCTTGGTCATTCCTTCAGTCTATTATGGATTATTAGTTTAATAATTTCTTTTTGGTCTCTTTACTTTCTTCCATTTTCATCTTTAATGTCTTTCTTTTCATTATATTGTCCACTTATTGCTTTCCTTTCCATTTTCATAAATGAAAATCTTCCATACATTGAATAATAAATGTTTTCCAATTCAAAAATTTATAAACCATTGAAGGATTTTTGGTCATCAAATGGTCATTTTCCTATCACTTTAGCATGATTTAATGCTAAATGTTTTTAGTATAATAGCGTTATTATTTAGGTCAATTCCTACGATTACTATCCTTTAAGTCAATTTACAATCGTACCGTTCCAATGCATTAATGTCAAGTCAAAGGTCATGTGTTAAATGATGAAACAACAAATGTGCATACTGTTTTTACTCAATTTCTCAATAGAGATATGTTTATCAGAAAAGAGAGTGTCGGAATGTTAAAAACATTTTCAAAACTATAACTGTCTCATAGAGTTAGTGACATTTTATAAGTTTAATTTGATTTAGCAAAAAGATTCTTCCCAATTTTTACAATGAAAAAATTTCACTGATAGACATACTTATAACTTCAAATATAAGGGTACCGTGCATTTTCCGGTGTTAGATGCTCGCCATATGCAGGAATATCAAATTTACGCTGTAGCTTTTTTGATTTATTATTAAGAAAGGTGGCATTAATATGTCGCGGTGATAATTGATTGTCTGAATCAGCACATATTCCTGAATCCGTATCACTATCACCTGGTGGTGGAGGTAATTGGCCACCTGTAAATCATTTTTGTCATTTTATCATTACTAACATTAACTGACAATGTTATCAAAGTATCAATCAAGTATGTATTAAGTTTAACCTAAATTGATGATAAGCATCCATATCACAAAAATTTTCTATCCTCTATTAGAATTGAACTTTCTCTTAGTAAATTGGACATAATACTGGTTTCATGACAATTAACTATTCATTGGGATGATCGCAACACACATCACTTTGAGCTATTCAGGAAATCGATATGATAAAAATTTAGTATTCATAGGAACTCTTAAATTTATATTAATGAAGAAAGTTGTGAAATTAGCTAATGGAATGTTTTCTTAATTTTAGACTAATAAGTTTTGATTTAATTCCTTTTAAAAGTACATAATGTCAACAAATTCATTCTCGAAAAATCAATTTTATTTCAAATTCCAACAATTTCATTTCTCAAAAAAAAAACATTTGTTCCAATTATTTGACAAAGTATTTCTCAATTAAATTTCATGTAAAATTTATTTATGGAATAGTTTGTTGTAAGAGTGAAGTAGGAAGGAAAGAAAAAGAAGAGGAAGAAAGACACGGAATGATGTTCCGGATGGAATTCCAGAGGATAATGATTTAAATGGAACGGAAAGAAATGGATACGATAGGCAAAGGAAGCTAAATAAGAGTTGGATGATTCCTTTCCAACAATCATGTTCATGATTTAATCCTTGGATATCATTTCCTGATACCATATTTCATTCTCAGCCATACAATTTTACCATATTGAAAGTATCATTTATTATAAATTTATAGCAAGCTAAATTGAAGCACTGACAAATGAACCAATCCTGTTTTCCGGATCAGTAGTATGATTGTGTGGAAGTTCATTTTGCTATGATATTCAATCAAACTGATTAGCATCATTATAACTAATGAAATTTTTTTCCAATTCATATTCTTATATTATTTCGTAGTCTAAAATGGCTTCTCCTGTAATTTTGTAATTCGTCAAATGTTTAATTAATGGTCAGGTAAATGGTTCACCAGATGTTTAATTGATGGACAGGTAAAAGAAAAGTGTATGTTAACAAGTAGCAATAAATAAACAAATAAAAATTTACAGGATAAATACATTACCTGTAATATTTCTTGAGAATTGACCAAATTTAGCAATTTGACCATGTTGATATTGTATCTGATACATTTTTGGTTTTGGTGGTGGTATTGGAGGTACTTTTGTCATTGCTATTGTGGAATTATACATAATAGCTAAAATTCTATATTTAAATTTATGTAATTAATATAATAATTTTTAAGAGGACGCATCTTTAAATAATAGATACCATAGAGGAAATAAGAATTAATTAATTAATATTTTCTAAAAATAAATATGAAATATTGTAATGTTATCATTAAAAAAATGAAAACTTATCTCACATTTAAAAATTTAAAATTATTATTTCATATTTATCAAAATTTAAAATCTTACAAAAATCTATAATAAATATGAAAAAAAAGAAAAAAAACGAAAGAGATGAAGAATGATAGCATTCTATTTTTACTAACAATGGCTTAAAGCTAATATTCTAAATCTATCATAGATATTTTGGCTTCATCCGGTTGAAATCATCAAATACGGTCAAAGATTAACCTCTCAAAAACGGCTTAAGATCGGAACACATAAATAAACGTTAAACATTGACATTATTTTACTAGATATATATTTGCTTTTTGTTATAGTAATAGAATTTTTGTAAAGAAGGGAGATATTTTATAATTTGAGGGGGAAAAAAAAAATTGCTTTTTTATTGTGAATAATTTGTCACGATTATTACATTCTGTTAAAATAACAAATAAAAATTTCCGCATTCATTGATTCAATTTTTCCTAAAATGGCTTCTAATGAGATGAATTTTACCTTGACGGTTAATTTACTCACTGAACATAAATGGTAACATAGCTAAGATAAAGCATCGATAATATTGACAAATAATTAGTAAATGTATAGGTACATTTGTAAGAGTAACAAAAGTTTACGGCATTTTACAACAATCCCGGTATATCACATAGTTTGTAGCATTTTACAAGAATCCCGGTATATCACATAGTTTGTAGCATTTTACAAGAATCCCGGTATATCACATAGTTTGTAGCATTTTACAAGAATCCCGGTATATCACATAGTTTGTAGCATTTTACAAGAATCCCGGTATATCACATAATAGGGTATTAGAAAAGTGCTATATAGTAGCTGTAGAAAATAAATTTGTCTGTGAAAGTTATTAAGTCATTTAATTTTAAATTTTACTTTGATGATCAATTTACTCACTAAACATAAACGGTAACATTGCTAGGATAATGGATCGATTATACCAAATTTATTGATAGAAATATTTATTGATAAAATTAGCATAATTTATTAATGGAAATAATTTAAATGAAAATTTTAATGTAAATGATAAAAAAAAAAAATGAGAATATGATTTAGAAAGAATGGGAAAGTTTTAAAAATGTGACAATCATCTATCTCATCAAATATCTATTTCCATATTAGGTTTGTGATTTACCATCACTTAAGTATACAATTTTTGCAAACATTTTATTTTTCCCATTATTCTTTTCAGTTTTTGAAGTCAATTCAAAGACTATTCAGTTCAATTCACTAAAACTTCCATTGTCACAAATATAAATGTGTCAACCTGTGCTATAAAACGGAAAATGCTTGCATAACGTTTAAAATTCTATTTTATCTTTCTTTTTTTTTTTTACAATTTATTGGAAGTGTGAAAAATTCGATGAATTAACAATGTGAAAAGAAATCTTTTCAAATGCACCATGAAGATGACATTGTGATTAGATGAGAAATTATCAAGATATCAAGATTATGAAATGTTGACAATAGCAAAGGCATAAGACATCGTGATTTCTTACTAGTAACCTTTGAACTTTTATTAGCTAATTTTGTTTGAGAAAAATGTGAATGATCCAAATTCAAGTATGCGCTCAAAATCACTTCCACTTATCATAATGATGAAGTAATTAATTTAACTGTTAATCTAATTTAATTGATATTAATGAAATTTATTGAGATTTATTGAATTAATGAAATTTATTGAATACATTCAAAGTTTGTCTCCTATTAGGAGCCAAAGTATGATGAGTCAGCAGAGAGGCGACAAAAATGAAGAATTTGAATATTTGCAAAAGGATTTAATTACGGGAACAAAGTTATCGAATTTGAACTTTGATTTTACAAGAAATGTTAACAAATCTGATTGCTTCCATTTTTCTAATTTATTGCATTTCAAGAAGAAACTTCCAATATTCATTGCTTAATGTTTGGTAAAAATTGAATGAATAAACGTTGTTGAGGAAATGAACGGAACAAATTGACATTTTAAAATTATAAAAAAGAAAAAAAAATTAAAATGCATTTCATGCTATGAAATATATTACTTGGATGGTTTGGCTCATTAAACACTCATAATGAAGAAAGGAAATTGAGGAGAAATAATTAAATACAAAAAAAAAAATATCCGAGAAATGTATCTTAGATTTGTCTGTTAACTAATTAATAAGTCTTCAATTTCAACATTTTACTGCAGTAATAATAGTAATGAATTGATTTGAAATCTGCATTTATCCAATTAATTTATAATTTCAACATATCTAAATAAAATGGATTAATTTTTTTTTTTTATTATCATTAATGGTTTATCATTGCTCAGAACAATGGAAGAAATAATCTTTGATAATCAATGGAAGAAATAATCTTAGATTTGTCTGTTAACTAATTAATAAGTCTTCAATTTCAACATTTTACTGCAGCAGTAATAGTAATGAATTGATTTGAAATCTGCATTTATCTAATTAATTTATAATTTCAACATATCTAATTAAAACTGCAGCAGTAATAATAATTCTTTCTCTGTGATCTTTTCTCTGTGCTTTATAACAAAATGATAATTTTATCGAAGAAAAACACCATCAAATGATGTTATTTATATTTCTTGAAAATGACCATTATTAAGATTACGTGATTTGAAGTGGTCATCGAGATTGTTTGATTTAATTCGTAGATGATGGACAAATATCATAGCCCAAATGATGATACATTACAATTTCACGATCAAAACTTTTGCAGCATCTTTATCGATTGTTCAGAAAAACTCCTTACCATTTAATTTAATTGACCTATAGCATTTAAATTTATGAGGAATAAATAATAATTAATAATTAATAATAATAATAATAATGATAATAGTAATAATAATAATAATAACATTAATAATAATAATAATAACAATAATAATAATAATAATAATAATAATAAATAATAAATAATAAATAATAAATAATAATAATAATATATTGTAGAAAATGATAAGTTTGAGGAGAAGGAGGTTAGTAAGTGGCATGCCGGAATAGTGCCATCACTGAAGGTATGCTTGAGCTATTCCAATCGAATCCTGAAGTCTACCATTGAAAAAGTACATAGCAATAAAAGGAACCGGAAGGAGCGGGAAAAAACATCCATAGGACATATTCCACACCGCCATCAATATTCACCACAATACATCAACTATAAACAGAAAGGATGACGTTGAAAGAATAAAATTGCAATGCCGGGTTTTTTTTTTTTTTTTTTTGTAACAATTTGCTTATTTCAATCTTTTAGGAATAGAATTTTTATAAATTGATTTGTTAGAACTTTTGAAAATTTCACTTTTTCATCTGAAATAAACAATAAGAATGAATGAACAGATAGATTATAAAGGAAATGATGAAAGAAGAAATTTTCAACAATACAGTAATTCTTATGCCATTTCAGGATTACTATCAGGATTCGGATAACTGAATTACTGTACCTTTCTTATTTCCCTGTTGCTAACTTTTCCCCGTTTATTCTAAAATTATCTTTTAATTTTAATATTTCAAACTATTTTCGATGAATGATTAATGGTTGGAATTTAAAGTACATGGGATGAATTTTAAGAATTGAAAACATGAACAGAGATTAGAAATGGACTTGTTATAAAAGACATCATTTTCTAGAAGAGAGGGAAAAGTAATCGTTGCAAAGAAAGAAATTTATAAATTTGCCGAATTTATTTGAAGAAGAGCAATTTTCTTAAAGTAATCCGGTCGTCAAAAAATATTTCTTAATCGGTAAATTCAGTTGTTTAGCAAATACTGTTTTGAATTTGTAGTGAGTGTAATTTTAATTTTGAAATGAATTCTCAAATTGTGTATTTGTTTTGGAGCTAATTATCAGTAAATTATTTATTTGTAAGAGAGTAAAAGGAAGAGATGATATGGTGACAGTTAAAGGTGAAAGCAAAGTTAGAAAAGCATCAATTAATTAAGTGCTTTTTATATGTGACAAATTTTTAAATAAATCCAGAGAAAAATAAAATAGAAATGGAAGAAAAATCGTAAAATTGAAGAAAGTATTTAAGGGAATAAAAAAAAAGGAAAAAAAAGGAAGGAATTGAAAGGCATTCTTCAAAGTTCGAGCTAATTACAAATTGCTGGAAGACGAAAGAGGAATTGAATCGAATTGAATTAAAATGAACTTGCATGAATTGAATTAATTGGAACTGGATGAGTTTGAACTTGAATTGAAATCCAATTGATTTTAACTAAATTGAAATAATTTTTTACAAGCAGTTTATTTATTTACAAGTAATACAATGCTACTTTTAGCAAATCATTTTTAGACTCAATTTTACTTATAATATACAGTTAAATCCATATATACCAGGATCGATTTACATAGAAAGATGAAAAAAAGCTAATGATATATCCAATATATTTAATTTAAACAAAAATTAAATGATTACAAAATTTTTTCTTTCGAAAATTTTCCTTTCTAAAGATAATTTTGCAAAAATTTTGATTATTTTCAAAGACTTGGCTAATTGTTCTTTTACTATCTATTCTTTCAAACTTTTAATTATAATAAAATTCCTTTAAGTTTAAGCTTATTATGTGTAATATATTCGGGAAATACTATGATAACATATATATTAAAATGTTTAGCTCAAAAATTTACTATTGATTGATTAAATTAATAGTAGGACTATACCTGTAGGTTACAGGTCATGCTTTAGGATCTTCTGTCCACTTATCATTTTGAACTCGTAAAGCGCTGAGAAGTTTATATGCAAGCCATGAAAACGATGAGAATTTGTACTTCCACATAAAATCAAGTGTCATAATGTGCGACAAAATGTGAAGAGA